AACCTTTCATCGAAATCGTTCGAAAGCAAAGAAATGCACAAGTTCATTCAGTTGTCCCTAAAAAATTTATGGATGTGAAAAGGTGTAACCTCAAGCGCCTAACTGAACAACCTTCGCCAGCTGCCCTCTAAGTGCTTATGCAATCAACCGTTACAAATCGATTTAAAGAGATGAAAATTGGACGAATGAATATGATGACAATTTCAAAAATTCAACAAACTCTCAATCGTCCACTCCGACAATAAACGCGAATTTGACTTAACTGTAAATCTTTGAACAGGTTCAATGCTTAACGAGCATGTCAAAGGATCATTAACTGAAGTGTCCGCGACACCGGCAAGATAAATTAAAAACTCGTAATGTTTCTTGTCAACGAAACGTGAGAAGAGGTTCATTATGACGCAACACCATGAAATTCTCATGGAACTGAGCGATGCTCTCGGAATTGTCAATTCGCATTGATCAACGAACGAATACGACTGCTTGAGGAAATATCGCAACGCTTCAATACATGAACATAAACTAGATAGACAGAAAAATGGCTGTTCAACCAAAACGATCACAGACAATTGTGGAAAATGATGATTGATAATTTTGTTTTGAAGCAAAACGAAAGAAACAATCGCTTAAGAAGGAATACATGGAAATTGCACATTCTTATAGAATATTATCACAAACGAACAAACAACTAGTCGAGTTATAACGTGACACTACAAATCAGATAACAATCAATCCCTGCATAAGACCAAATCAGAATGTCCACTACCTAAGACATTTGGAAGCCTCCGTACAACGGCTTCAAAGAAACCACTAGAGCATTACTGAGTTGGTTTATGACAACAATCTCGCAAAGGCAACCAAAATTGGATGAAGATACAAATTTTCGTAGTCACTGTGAATAGTTACTTTCAACAAAACCATAATTTTCCTCTAGTGATTTAAGTATAAAAATCATATCTTCACAATCACAAGACGAAAAATTCTCCAATGTGAATTACAGAATGAAGTACATCATTTGTGATAACATAGAGGCGTAAACTCTTAACCAGTTGTAATTGTTGATTAAATAATCAAATAAATAAACACTGAATAATCAAATAAGAAATCATGAACGGCGAATGATTTTCAATGATTCCAACGAAAGAAGAGAACTCATCCAAAAACATCACTAAAATAGGCGAATGATACGATATTAGGTATCTCCAACTGCAACAACAAATTATGGACGCTCATTAACGAATGGCATTGAACGCTGCTGGGGCTGATAGTGTTGCTGAGATTGTGAAGATGATAGTTCAGTGTTGGTGACAACAGATGACATCACATGTTCATTTTGTGGCACTATTGATTGCTGTTGTTGAACTTGCTGAAAACATATCCATTCAACTCATCGTCGGCTAAAGAAGCTGACTGTCGAATAACCACACAGACATAACCAATGATCATATAAAGAGCTAAAACTTCTTTCAGTACAGAAATTCAGCTGAAATAATACGAGTCTATTTGAGAACGATNAATTCTTTAAATAAGAGAAATAGTTGAAATGATTACCATTCCATGAAACCGTGAGAATGCGTTAACGTTTTCAATCGAATTCGAAGTATCATTGTCGGAATGCGAATGCGGTGCTGAGAATGCACTCGTTGGCGACGGAACAATCGGGAATGATCGTATCGGTGAAGAATTGGACAGCAGTGATGTGGTTGTGGGTGGGACGATTGGTGTCGTTGAAGAAGTTAGTGAGGTGTTTGGCAACTGCTGAGTTGAGTGCATATAAAATTGTTGTGACTGTATCAGGTGAGGTGGAGCTGTCTGAAATCACTGCACTTTGTTCAGTATTAACAGAAGTTACTTTCCGCATAATGCAATCGACAAATCAATTTGGTGATTTCCATTCGACACATCAACTCGTTTTCCTCTTCAAAAATGAAAGAACAGAGGTGATTTTTACCACGTGCGCTCATCAATCATACGTGAGTGAATGAATAATGAATGTGTTCCATTATCGGCAATGATCATTTCGTTCAAAGAAGACTGAAGAAAGGTGAACCGGCTAGAAAGGGATCAAAAATTCACCAGACACTGATTGCACAAGAGCAATCAGATGTTAAACTGGAAAAAAGAGTCACAGAAAGGGTGTAAATTTGCGAGAAGTGAACATTCGAAAAACCTGATATAGATGGCCTGTTGAAGGATGAGGATTTATGATCGTTGTTGGTGTGCTGATAACAGCTTGTTGGTGTGACTGCGATTGACTTTGGTAGTCGACGAATTGATTCGCCTGAGATTTATTATGCGACAGATATTCCAAATGTGGCGGTGCTTGAGCCTGGTGCTGCTGAATTGCGATTGGTGAGACGCTTTCTGGTGGATGACCGCTGGGATGCGGATGAACGGATGCGCCGTAGTGGTGTTGCTTGTAAACTTGTAACGGAGAACTGGGACCCGAGTGAATAATCACTCCTTCCTGAACACTCATTTTTTTGGTACTTTTAATCAATATCACATTTTGCTAAAATTGTTGACAATTTCGGAGACGACACAAACCATTGAAATTAGAAAAAAAATTTCATAGCTAAATATGTCAAAGAATGTGGACAATATACAGTGAAAAAATTTTTGGAAATCAATTTCAGATAGAAATTTTCACAAGGTTTTCTATTTTGTTATAATTCCTCACTTTGGACGCTAATTGACGCACCAGTTCAGGTATTTTAACGGGTTCAGTAGGAATTGCGGACGCATACTGCTGTTGTTGTGATTGTTGATGTTGAGTGAGTTCAGAAGACTGAGAGTGAAGACTCACATCACTCTTTACGGCATCTGATCGCTGCTGATAATGTTCACGAAACTTTTCGAGTGGTGGAGCAATCAGCACACGACTGTTGCTGATCGAAGCGCTTAGCTGTGCGATCGGAGATGTCGAATGCACGGAATGTGACGAATTGGTTCTGGTTGGGAATGTGCTCGTGATGGCTGGTGGTGAGACTGCAGTGAATGTTGTTGAGGCGGTGTTCGCTGATGATGCTGACGGTGACGGAGTCCGAGCTGTGATCACCGCAGCCGATGAGGCTGCAACCAGCGACGCTGCCTCCTGTCCACTATCAACTGCACCCAACGATGCATCAGATTGCGTTGGTGTTAGTTGCTCACTTGGTACTTTTGGTGTATCCCTTAAACAGAACAAACACATGATTGCTCTAACAATTAGTTCATCAACAACATAATTTAGACTGTTAGCCTCGATTGAATCACTGTTAGCCTCAATAACATTCACATTTGACAATCTCTCACCCACCTATCCACTTAGGTTAATGTTATGGCTCAAACAACATGAAATGTTGCAACGGACAACGAAACAATCGATGAACTCAGATCAGATAAGAGAATAAGAAATCTTATTGATTCCGAATGAGCATTGAATTAAACGTGAGATTATTTGGATAAACAGAATGATCTGAAGTGTGAATTTCGCTATTGCCATAGGGTTGTGCTACTTAAAAAACGATACGAGCTTACGCAAACAACTCCAGCAAAAGCATCTATCTCAGTTCTACCTGAAAACACTTTTAAAAAACGAAATGCGTATACATTAAACGCACAATCTTTCGTCAGCCCGTGGTGGCCCAGGCATCACTTCGGCCAGTAAATCGGGCAATAATGATCCCATTCTTGTTGTAGTCATTTGATAGAGGCCTGGTATTGCTTGGAACATTCCTGTATTGTCCAATACCAAAATCATATTTTTCAGTGATTCAGGAATCGCCTCCGACAAAAGATCACTC